AGAGACGGTGGCAAGCATAGAGGCAAAGCTCATAACATATGGTAGAAAACCTCCAGATCAAATACTAAGCGCAAAGTCTCAAACCTAGCAGTGATTTCTGTCACTGTATCTTTTTCGATATGATTACATATGGGTATGAAAAAGGCTTTTTAATGCTTTTGAATGTCGCTGGATATCACATGGATTGTGATATTATCTATATCGCTAATGAACTGTGATAAGGAGTTGGTCCATTTGTTGTTCTTACAGTTTTCCACTTTATTATTTTATTTCAAAATATCGAAGCTTTAGAAATCATAATGCCGATCACTGTTGTCATGAAAGCGTTAACGCCATTGCTCCTTCGAAGACTTGTTTATCATGTGGTCCTAAAGGTAGGTCCTAAAGGTTCTAAAGCTTCACAGTTTCTTGCAGTCTAGAGATCACTTATTCATCAATCCATTAGTTATTCATTTTTATGCTCTAGGCTGGAAATAAACTTGTTTACGTTACAGACGAGGATTCGTCTAGAAAAGGATTACTATGTGTAACAAATTCATCTAATCGAATCCCAGCAAGTAGTCAGCGTGTTAACAAAGGAACTGATTATGGACATCCTGCAGAGTAAGTGTGGAACTTTAATAGTGTTTTTTAACATTTTTATTGGATTTTATTCCTGTATTTTTTAAGGGTTGCATGCAATAAACTCATTGGTTAAGGGTCTATTTTGTTTCTCTGTGCATCTCTTTAATGATTCGATTCTCCGCATGTTATATTGAAAAAACGAGCATGTACTTTTTTTTTTTTTTTGTAGATGGATGCTCCATCGTTTTTTGAACAAAAAGCATGGATTTACAGCCTTTCATCTCAATTGTTTTATATTGAAATTTAGTGGAAAAGACTCAACGCCTTTGCTCCAAAATTATGCATATTGTGGTGAATATGGTACTGTGTCCCGGAAATCTTGTGGTCAGGAATCATCAAACAAACGAAAGTACTCATTTGCAGCTTATCATCCATATTTTTGCTATTTTAACATTTATTCGTTGTTTTATAACTCTTTGACTAATTTGCTTTTATTTTCGTTATTTCCACGTCACTACTAGAGTTGCATGAAGTTTTTTGTTGTCTGCTGTACAGTAGTTATCCACATTCATTAACAATAGATTAGTACTTTATTTCTCTATGTATTTTATGTCTGTAGGATTAATATCTATCTCTTCCAGATTCTTTATGTTGTTATAATTTTTACTGTTTATGTTATGAGTGAAAACATTTTGCGCAAACATCGAAGGCTTAAAAACGAAAATTTGAAACTAAAGCTACGAGTTCGATATTTTTCAAATTTTTTTCCATATGTTATTAGTAAAATAGAAAAGGAAGAAAAATTAGCTCTGAAACTAGTTGGGAAGTAATGCATATTTGGTCACGGTGGAATTCTTAGCTTTTATATTTTATACATTATTTGTCAATTTTATTTGAAGAAACGCGTTGTTCTTAACGTATCTGTTCAAATACATACAGAGCTTTTTAAAATTTGAAGAATTTACGTTCATCTTTTTGATCATCCCTTTTTTTTCTTTAGGGCCTTAACATTAGCGGAACCAGAGGCATGTGAGCGAAACTGCGATAACGTTAAAGAAGATCCACCAATTTTGATGAAAAGTCGTCCTCATGCTCACAGCCATGGTGTACGTAGTATCACATTCGTCTTGGCAATATCGTTTCATTCAATCATTGAGGGTCTTGCTTTCGGTGTTCAGGTTTGGCAGTTTTGCGGTTTTGATTTAGGAAGTGTCTGGAAATACGGATTTGGTAATTATTAAAAAAAAAGGACGTAGGACAGAAAAGCCGGGCAAGATTGGCTGCAATCCGAAGAGAATTCAATTTTAGACGACACCTTATTTTTGCCGCTTTTATTTTGAATTCGTCTCCTTTCTTTTCTTACTAGCATTATGCAAATGTTCACCATAATTTTTGTTTTCCAAAAATTCCTGAACGATGTTTATTCATATACAGCTTTATACCTCCAAGTTATTGCAGATCGATAATGCTCGAATTGTGACGCTATTTATATCGTTGATGGTACACAAAATTATTGTTGCATTTTCCGTTGGTTTGCAGTTGGGCCGCACTCATGCACATGCTTTAGGTTGGGTATGCTTGAGTATGGCCCTTTTTTCGATCATGTCACCTTTTGGTGGTTTTATTGGTACATTTGTTCAAAGCTCACAAATGGATACACAAGTGAAAGCTTTGACCATACTTATTTTTCAAGGAGTTGCTGTTGGCACATTCATTTATGTCACATTTTTTGAAGTAAGTATTCATGTTTTTATTCAAAAGATTTATTAAAAAACGCTTTCAATTTCGACTTGACCATATCGACAGAATCATTTTCAAATGCTACGTGTTTTGCAGGTTTTGTTACACGAACGAGATAACGAGCATCCAAATCTTTTAAAACTAATTTTTATGTTGATAGGATTCACACTGATTGGTGGGTTGCGGTTTTTCGACAATCATTCCCATGAACATTCTAATGGGTCTCTTCAAAACCATGGAACCCTGTCATCACCTCAACCCCACAGTATATGAATACTGTTGTTAATTCAACATTTGTTTTTAACTTCTGTAAATATTCCTCCAAAGTTAAGAGCAGTGTTTTTACTATCATTGTGAAGTTGAGTCAGTTCAATGATTTAAACTGTTCCTCATTCAGTTTCCATCTTTAAGAAAACATTCACAGTTTCCAATTAAAGATTCAATATAGAGTGGCGAGTTATGAATGGGAAAACGGAACAACGCGAATTATTCAGAGATTCTTCCGATTCCGTTCATGACATCTACTCACCAATAAATTGCCCTTCAAACTCCTTGGATTCGTCATATTTATGTACCCAGTATCTCTTCATACATATTCCCCCTCTTCTTCCTTAACCTAGGCAACCAAATAATAACTATCACCTATGTAACAGTATCCCGAGATCTGAATTTGGATACTTTGTGAGATACCTTCAGTCAGGATGATATCCCGTTGTTGAGAATGAGTCTAATTAACACTTGCATATTTATATACTGACTTTACTGACAACTGTGGAGGTTTTATTTCTATAATCGCTTTTTCCTGATGTTAAACCTCATATTTTTTATAAAAAAACTGACATTATTCGCTTCAGTGAGATCCGTGCTGATCAATAAAAATATCGATCATTTTGTGAGTCATTTTCCCGATAGAACACTTTCTGTAAATAAACTAAACAAAGAGATTTAGAAGATTTGAGCCAAGTTGCTCTCACGAAAGAACTGTCGCATTTATAGTTTGAATAAATAAACTTTGGGTTGCGCTTATCTGCCGTCAAGAATCAAAAGTTAGGCTATGTAATTATTCAGGTTTCATTGACGCATCTATTTCTTGCAAGGACTATATGTAATGCTGAGGGTTTATCCGTCTTCAGAAACATTTAAATGTACAGAATGTGCAAGTCATCACATTTAATCGTAATAAAATTAGCTGCAATGTTTATTCTGATGAATAACATTTATTTTACAAGCGTTCGCTTACAAAAATTCAAAAATTCGTTTAAAATAGGGTTATCTATGTGGTGACAACTTTGACGAATGAGGGCATTTACTCGTGATTTTCATAAAAGTGAAGCCTGAAATGATTCAAAAATTTACATTAATAAATGAGTTAGCAGTGTTTCCCCATTTAACTTTTATTAAAATCACCAAGTCAAAGATCTACATAGTCAAAGTTACTGAGACGATCCAACCTGGCGCGACACCAACTGGTACACAAAAAGGTATCTATATTTTTCCTTGTTTGCATACCGAAATACAATGGAATTTTATTGCATAAACCAAATTTGAGCACAGTGAACGAGCAAAAGTAGTTATACACTATTAAAAACTATTGCAAACGGCGAAGTATAACCAGCTTTAATGGTCCTTCTGGACGTGACCGGAGCGTTTTTGTCGCTTCCAGGTAACTCATCCCACTCAAATCAATGCCATCAATTGTGGTTACTCGGTCACCAACTTTAATACGGCCGCTACGTGCTGCAGAGCCGCCTAGGAAAGAATTAAGAACAAGTTAAGTCATTACTATCAACGTTGCCGAAGTGCTACAGTTTAATGAAGGATACCCTTAAAAATAAAACAATGTGTACTTCCCCTAAGAGAATTGACATTTATAAACTTTTCACTGTCCTTTTTCAAAGCAAAGTATACGTTCCAAGCATATTTGTTGTTTCGACGATGAATGGTTACCTTCAAAAACTCTTTTGATAACAATTGGCCGATCACCAAACACTGATCCACGGCCACCATCAAGCGCTAAGCCTACACCAAGACTACCTTTCGTGAGTATCACTTCTTCCGGATCCATCGAATAGTTGAACAGATCAGGGTCAACAGTTGCTTAAACAAATAAAACCCATGAAAAAGAATGGCAAGTCATTTTTTGCAAATTTTGAATTCATTCATTACTACATGTCAAAGAAATTGGCTATCCCTTAAGAGGTTCAATGATTTCAACTGAAAACACAGTGAGCATCTTAAACGATTTTACCGGTGGAAACAAATTTAGCAGGCTTAGCTGGCATGTCACTGGATTTTGTCTTCGGTCGTCCGAGTACGAAAATGACATGTTCAGTCCTTTGTTTGATTAAGGTTCGTGCATCTGTAGCTGACATCTGAAATATGCAATAATTAATCGACTTTGTGATAAGAAACTAGCTCAAAATACGATCGACGGTGTAAAGCTGACGATGCACAGGGAAGTGCTTTTTGTATTTTAAACCTTTCGATATTAAAAATCAACAGCTATACTAGGGAAATCTGTGGTAATGCAAAAGATGAGCAACAAGGAGAACCATCTGACCTGTTTTGTCGAGTAACCCTGCACGAAGAAAACACGATCGCCCTTCTCGATGAGATCGCTTCGATCCGCAATACTACCCGATATCACTCTTTGCACCTGAACATATATGAAACCATTTTTCGACCACCTCCATGTAATTAATCAATTATTTAATCACGTCAACCAATTAACTCGAACACTCACGCTAATATATTGGTCGCCGGAAGCTGCCGAACTCAGAATTACACCAACTGAACCTTCTGGGTTACTTGCCGGTTTTTTCAGCATTACTTTGAAAATATCATAATCAGCAAATTTTCCATTTAACAAGCTTTTGCACTCCATTAACTAGAATACTTTAATGATTTTAAACAGGCGAAAGAAATACCACTGGTTTCTACAAAAATTGCAGATGAAAACATGAGAGAGGTATAAATGTTTCTACAGTCATTGCAGTTTCCATAATGGAAAAAGCAGATACATGTCCTTAAATCGTTAAAACTGTAATCACGCGTAGACCAGCATTAAATCTTCAAAGCATTAAAAAAATATATCAGAGTGATAAATGGATGGGTACTGAGGGAAGCGAAAAGCCCACTGTTTGTCTTCCATTATATACTTTTCTTTTGGAATAACTCCACGAATTCGGAAACCTTCAAATATTACCTCCACTTCAGATGTTTGTCCTTGCTTATGCAACTCATTGCTTGGTGTAATCTCGCTGATTATTTGAAGTGTCGCTTCTTCAGCTCCATCTGCCCCAAGCGGCCTTCCGATCACTTCATCGTTTGTTACACTATCGAAGCGTGAGAAATCGAGTCCTTCAAATAATCAGTAGTCTACCCCACTTTCTGGAAATTCGTGGTAAGCCTCATTTATCGTCAAAATATAGATATTCTTACGTAATGCTAGAAAGCTCCATACATATCGACTTTCAATCCTCATTCTGATTAAATGATCCTGTCGTCAGAAAGTTAAAAAAATGTACAAAATTGTTTTTAAACCTTTCATAACTCCTACTGAATACTCTCTTTCTGATAGACATGGATGCATTTTTGTGTTTGGCTCTTTCTCCATCACGGATGAATACACTTCCAGGAATTCATTCTGCTTCGTTATAATCGAGGACCTTTTCTCAACCTTTTCAGATTGTCGGATAATATCCGAAAATTTTTCAACCTTGACATTTTTTTCGACAGTAGAGACGAATTTCTTCTCATTGTTATGAGATGCTCGCACCGGAAGAGGCTGTGCAGTCTGTAAAGAATTACATTCTAACTTGCCGCATAAACATATTTTCATAATAGCATTACCGGTAAATGTTTAAAACAAAAACTTTAGTTAATAACATAAAATGTGCATCTAACAACCATAAGATGTGGAAAATGAAGAGATTTTGTGAGAAAAATAAATCATCATAATGGTATTGCATGGGAGACGCAGATATTTTTTGGACCTCCCTTTTACTTCATTAACCGAATTTTGAGTTTTTCATCTCATGGACCGACTAGCTAAGATCATGTTCCCTTAACTCTTAATGTCTTTTTAATCTACTCCAAGCTCATCCTGTACTGCTCACTTTCTGCCTTAATCGGTAAAATATGGTGTGTTGCGTGCTATCAATTTTCTAAACCAATTACCTTCTCAAAGGATGCTCTTGCTTTTGTAAAGAAATTTCCGGCTTGCGAAATAGGTGCATTATCAGTAACTGAAAATCTATTTTTTGAAGTTTCAACATAGGTCGAATTTCTTTCAGTAAATTTTTCGCTGATCAATTTGCTGCCACTACATGGAACTTTCTCTGAGGTGCGCAAATTTAGTGCTGTCGCTTTCGAAACACCAGTACTGCCACTGTTCCCCACTGTAGTGAATTTGCTCGAATCAACAGCGCCTGCGATGCTTTGGAATGTCTTCGGTGTTGGAACTGCACCATTATCTGCTTTTGTGAACTATAAAAATTTGTTTTCAATAAATCAAAAATGGGTGATAAAATAACAGACCAGGCAAAAACAGCATAATTTCAACCAAATTTTAGCCATCTCCATCAAAATATCACAGCCAAATCAATTAGCAAAGGTAACAATTTCAATGCCATGAAATCATTTCGGTTGGAGCAGAATCAAGAAAAGGATTTCATCTATTTACAGCTTTAGTAGCTACCTTAGCGAGCCAATCCAACCCACTGATTTCGGTAGTTGATTTTATTTTTAAAAATAAATGACGAAAATTGCCTTTTCAATAAGTTTATTAAACGGAATCGGCTTATCATCATCTCTGGCACGGCGTGGAGCAACTGGTATTACCGGCTTTTCGGACTTTTCATTTAACGATGTCGGAGTTTGCAATTCCTTGGTGGGAACTGTTCGGTTAATGCCATAAGAATGTTCTGGTTTCCTCGGAATCGATACAGCAGAACTTTGCCATGGGGGAGGGATGGGTTTGGAAGGGACGACTGAGCCAGATTTTTCAAACACACCTGAAGTGGGCTTTTCTGAAACAGATACAGCGCTATTCTTTGGGGATGATATATCTAACATCGACTATACCCAGTCGGTTTTATCAAGTAATTTGAAATTTCCGAAGCACCATTCAGTGTTTCGTATAGCGAAGAATTAGACTTGCTTTCATTTGAAGTAGTCGTTTCTGATGACTTCAAACAAGAAATTAAGTTTCAAGAAATTCCCACTGTTTGAGAAGTAAGGCTCGTATTCAAATGTTGTTCTCCAATTTTTTTTGAACGATGTCTATAACGACACCACAAATGAATACTTTTCCATGGATTTATTCATTAAGATAAGTGATGAATAGCGGGAGATTTGGGGAACACTTGAGACAGTCATATTGTCAGCTATTTCCTGAAAGGAAACTTCGGAAAACAAACCGCTGCTGTCGTGATTTCTCAATGAGTCAGGTGTTGGAGAGACAATCCGGTTGAGTTCTGTAGCAGGTACAAATGAAACACAGTCGCTTTCCTCGATATTCAAGTGTATTTCTGCTTCCGAGGTATCTTTAGATTTCACAGCAGCATTTTTAAGTGACCCCAACTTTTCATCATAGGTACTGCATTGTTCGATTTTTAACAGTCGATTTTCTGACTTTTCTTGCGAAGTTACCCCGAGTTCTAGATCAAGAGACAGAATCTGAAGTGGAGGTCCTTCCAAATTAGTGCCATAACTTCCTTGATCATGTCGCGGAGCAATTTTAGAAGCAAAAAGCTCCGATATTGGTATTTCTTGAGGCCTTGTAAGTGATTGATGAGGTGAAGCATTCCCTGATTTTGCAGATATGGTCCTAGGCAGCGGTTTTGTAACAGAATCAGGCGACAAATGATACCTGGAAAGCAGGGTTGGTATAATGGAATTCACCAACTAAAGCTGAAAAAAGCGAGCCATTCTCAAAAAGTGAAATTCTGAACTTGTTGAATTAATTCGACAACTAAACAATTAACTTAAAACAGAAAATATGGACAGTGAAAATAGAAATCAATTGAGTGGTAGACAATAAATCGTACTAAATTTTCAATTAACTAGCCCTTGGTTGTGTATTACTTCAAATTAAATCAAGATATTTTTAAAAAATGAATAAAAGATGAGCTGAGCAGTCTTTGTTTAGAACATTCAAAAAGACGCGCATAGATAACAACTTATTACAAAATTAAAAGTAATTTACATATCATAGGCAGATGACTGCTTCATGGTGACTTTATCATCATATTGTTTTCCATTTTTGCATTTCTCATCCGTGTCCAACGTTTCCACTGTTTCTTTTGGTTCCGATGAATTACCATGCGGTAACTTCGTCGTAGGAAGATCTGCTGACTTTGTCAGAGTTAAATAAAATTCCTCCGATTTATCAACTATCCGTGGATAGAAATGGTAATTCAAAATTTCTGTTTCGGGCGGTAAATTTTGCTGGAATTTTGAATACAGATCATCCAGCGATTCTCTCATGGATCCTTCGGACTTTTCATCTTCTTGCTCACTGATATACGCCGTATTTTCCTGCATTTCAGTTTTCAAACGGGCATATTTATAGGTCCTTTGCACTGGAATTCCTTGCATTGACTGATTTGAATTCGATATCCCGCTGGATGAAAGAATATTGGAAAGCGTTGTTGCATAATGCAGCTTCGGATGTGCGGGAGTTTCCGGAACCACAGTTGAAAGTGGAGCATGAGGTTGCTGCTCTTGTTCAAAAGTACTTGCAGAGGATGCTGAGAAAGCTTGCTGTTTATTCTGATAAGTTTGCTTCGAGGTTTCTGGATGCACCGTGGAATCCGACGGAACAATCATATTTATGAATGACGGCGATGCTGACTGCCCAGAAGGCGTTATTAACGGAGCAACAATGGACGGAGCGGAGCGTGTCTCTTCATCTCCCGTAGGCAGATGAAGCGTACTGTTAAGAAAGTTCGGTCGACTGAAAAAAAATTAACTTGTGGAAATTAGAATTCGCTAAATAATTTCAAAGTTGCTGAGATAACGAGAGATTAATATGATAGGCCAAAGGGTTCATTGCTTCTAGTTCCTTGACAAACACCTTTTCTGCAATAACATGCATGATCGACCTCTTAGTAAGACTGCATTGACGCATGTCTGGATCCGGCCAAATTTGGAAACAACGCAACCTTACGTCATTTTTGACTTCCACTGAATTTTATACAAACATTTCAAAGTGATACTTGGCGGCGAAATGTCGATCGAATTCATCGAATAGTGGACTGGAACAATCTGGATCAGAAGCAAATACGCTGACATAAGTTGGCTTATGCTTGATGTTACAACGACTTCTGAATATGGTCCGTTGCGACCTCGATTGCTGATGCTGTTGTAACCGATCGCTGTGAAATCCGGAGTCGTTACTGCACGGTGAATCATTATTAATTGTTTTGAATATCACAGTAGTGTTACCATTACTGTTATTGTTACTGCCATTCACAGATGATACGGTTGTATCTAATTCTAAAGCCATTTTACCACCTGCAAGTTTTTCGCATTAAAAAAGTTTTTCGACCTCAGAACAAATGTAACATATTCATGAGTGCAGCGGAAGCAATATCGCCTAACAAAGTCATTCGGAATGGGAATGTAAAGGTGTCAAGAGAATAGATTAGAGTTATTGTAACACATCACATTTCCGAGGACTTTTGACAGTGTAAACAAACCCTCAAAGTCGTCAATCGTTAATCATAGTCTTATGACGTTTTTTTTTTATCACAATGCTCATAATATATACAGGCCCTGTAATTATAGCCATCAATCAGGTCAGGAATAAGATCGAAAAGTGAAATACAACCAGCCCATACATTTTAGCCTTTTCAAGAAACAAGTACTTGTCCAAAGAAGTCTGAGTAAGTCATCCGCAAGAGATGTTGGTAACCTCAAAGAGAAAAAATTTTTGGAATTCCAAATTGTTTCGAACTGAAAGCATTTCAACTCTGACTACTACTACATAACATCTATCCTTACTGCCAGACTACAACTACCAAAAACTTATGAAATTCAAAAAAAGACAACTGGATTCCACTTCCAAAGGAAGCACAGCTATCGAACTGTAAGCGTAAAGAGAAACCAGAAAACGTTACATCGATTGGTGTGATGATGATTCATACTGTTGCAAAAGAAAGACCCTTGCCTATGATCGAACAATAAAATAAGATGTTTATTTGATTATTCAACTCCATAGTCCAGATTAAAATTACTAATTTACCAAAAGAGATAGCTAGCATCAATTTAACCAATTTCGAAATCTAATTAAATCCTTGAATCAATCATATAAAATGAGGGAAATACAAGGAAATATTTTAGTTCTAATTTTCCAAATCCTAAACCGTTCATAAAAGGATGTAAATGTTGCGACGTGAAAGAAGCAAGAAGGTTGACCAAGTGGATTACTGTAAGGTTTTCTGAAAGTAAACAGAATAGAATATTTTCTCACGAAATGAAAATGAAAGTCCCCGTAGCAGGTTAAACAAATAATTTCTTTTTTACAGTTTTCAGTTCCTATATGATTACGTGATCACATATAGGACAAGTGAAACGCCATTACTTCGAAGGTATGAGTTTGATTTCTGGATGTGATAAAGGGTCTATCTGCAAAGTAACAAAGGTGGTAATGATATAGTGTTAGTCAGCCCATCAGCAAAAAAAAAAAGAATGTTGTAGTGATTTAAGATGAGGAAAGGAACCTATAGTTAAACAGTGATAAATCTATAAATATATTTCAGCATAGATATAATATTTTAGTTTAGTTCAACTGATAAGAATGCACTTTCATATACAAAAAAAAAAAAAACCCGAAAAAACTAAAACTAGATCGAAACTGAAAAACAAAACGTAACCAGTCTGCAAGAGGCATTCCATACTCGGATAACATTTAGAGTTCAATCTTCCTAATTACTGTGATTTCCGGTGATAGATTAATCGAAGTTTTCAATTCTAAGTTTTCGTTGTATGCCTGTAACAAAGCACACTTGCACCTCATAATGCAGTGGATTGAACGGTGAATCTTTAGCAGACGGTTATTCTGTCACGACAAATAAAGGAAACGATGAAACATTGATAACTTCGAAATTGCTTAAGAATTATCCGTTATAAGCGCATACTATAATGTTTTGAAGCTGCGCAAAATAAACCACTAATTTTAAAAAAAAAATCACTAAAAATAAATCACTAATTAATTTATTCCTTCACACACCATCGTTTCTCGCCGCCCTTAATTTATTAGTCATTCAAATTAAAGTTAGATGTTATCATATGAATTAGATTTAACATGGAAGAACTATCACTGCTAATCTGGCCAAAAATGATAATGCGTTTATAAAAACCCCATAAATGAGATATAATATATAGTGTTCGGTGAGGAATCCTGTTAATAATTTATCTTAGGCTTCACAGAAACAGATATCCAACCTTTGACCTTAAAAAACATTACGAAAGAACAAGTTTAATTGAAAATTGCTTGATAGGATAACGTGTAAATTGAGGACAAAATTATCCACGAACGACGCAAATTACGGATAACGTGAAGACATTAGGCTTGAAGATGGAAGTATGAATTAGACGCAGGAGGACATGATCTGAATTGAAGTATGAGTTAGACGTAGGAGGACATGTGATCTGAATTGAAGTATGAGTTAGACGTAGGAGGACATGATCTGAATTGAAGTATGAGTTAGACGTAGGAGGACATGTGATCTGAATTGAAGTATGAGTTAGACGTAGGAGGACATG